TGGCAGAGCTCGGCAGCCTGCACCCTGTAACCTTCTGGTCTGTCATTTTGCCCACAGCATCGCCACGGTGAAGCTTCATTTGCAAAGCCTTGGGAGAACCGTGGGGAAGGGACCTCCCAGCCATGCTTCAGGGCTCTGCTGGCAAACCAGAATGGGGGTGAAACTGTTTTCCAACAGGTTTTGGGGGGCTAAAAAATATACTTTACCAAGTGTTTTTGGGTGGTCTGGCAATGACAGACCTTGAATGTACCCTCAGCATAACCCAGGGCATTTCTAGCTCCCTTGCTCATCCTGGGGCATTGCTGAGGAGCATTCATTAAACGACCATTTCAGACCTGCTCATTTTTCCTTTCTTTGACCTGAGAATGGTTGAGCGCTGCCACTCTCCGTCTGCTGCAATAAGGGCTGGGGTCTGGGTGAGCCCCTGGCTGAGCTCTTGCTAGGAGCATCTTTGTGTTCCTGCTTTCAAGCATTTCTCTTAATGGGAGCTGGGCCAGAACAGGAGACCTTCACTGTGGTGCTGTTGACGGGCTGTTGATGAAAAATAGAGGAATCAAATCTAGTGGGAGTCCCCTCTGGCCCCAGGCTGGGAGGGTTTCTCCTTCAGCACTTGCTGTGCCAGGCCCCAGCTGCAGAACAGAGCCGTGGTGTTGTAGAAGAGAGCTGTGATGTTTGATGTTGTCGAACAGAGCCGTGATGCCGTTAGCCTTGTGCTGCTGTGGGGAGGTGAGAGCCCTGCGGTGGCTGAAGCCTGGTGGTGATGTGCAATTAGATGAGAGCAAGCTGAGCAAATGCAGATGGCCGCTTGTCCAGTTGTTAATCTTTTCAGGCCTTGGAGTGCTTTATCATTCCTTATAGCTGCAGAGCATGTTGCTGTCAGTGTCTGTAGTCTGTAACTGCAAAGACTGTGGAAGATCGGAGGCGTCACGTTTTGTATCCAGTCTGCCAGCCGGGGATCAGTGACCCGAGGGGACCTCGTGAACCTTCTGAGCGTTCCCTGCTTGGCTGGGCCGGGGCTGGAGTGACTCATGAAGCCATAGTCCCCTGGGGTGCAGCAATCCTCATCTACAGGCCAGAGCGCTCTCCAAGTGCCACATCCTCTGAAAGGAGGAGCTGGAGCTGCCTCTGGCACTAACCCCATCTGCTGCAGATGGGCTGGGCCTGCAGGGCTGATCAACCCGCTGCCTCCAGCCCCGTGTCCCTGCTTTCCTCTGAGCGTGGCAGTGGGTCACCACCATCCATGTGTGGCCACCACCAGCCACACAGCCACACGTGTGGCACCACCGGTCCCTCGGTGGCAGACCCGGGGTGCTGCCATCTCCTCCAGGCCCTGCCGCCGTGGCCTCACAGCGCAGTGTTTGCGCTGGGTCTACGGCGGCTTCCTTCGCTTTCATCTTAGCTCTTGAATGAGCGACACGGATGAAACACCTCTGACTCAGTGAGATAGGTGAATTTGTAAGCCCGAATACCACACACAGCCCTAGTCTCTCACTTCCTCAAAAGTGCTAAATTCCTCATGCTCTCAGGTCTCGTTTTGCCTCCACCCCTGTGTTACACCGGAGCGGTGCTGAGCAGCGCAGCACGGCTGTGTCAGGGGGAGCCAGGCTGTCCCCAGCTCCCATCCCTGGGCTGGGTGGCCTCTGTGCACATCTGTGGGGCAGCACCCTCACTGCAGAGCCTCTTTGGGGTGTCCTCCATCGTGTGAAGGCCTCAGATGTTTTCTGGTAGCTTCCCTCAATCCCACACAGCGCTGGCTGCAGTCAGCACGCCATGGGGCTGAGCACAGTCTGTGTGTCCTGTCAGTCGCCGGAGGGGAGCCCTGCCTGTGCTCGCACCCTGCACAGGAATTCAGATTCCTCAGTGACTGGGAATGGTGTCTGAGTAAGACCTGAGCACCTGAATCGTTTTATGACAGAAAAACATTGGCCCCTCAGTGCTTTCGGTGGGAGGCTTTGCACAGGCAGCGCCGCTCTGCTTTGTTGTCTGTGCGCCCTGCTCTATGCGATAACCTGGCTTTTCTAGATAACGAGCATCGTTTCGCTCACAGGAAATAGGAAATGGTGAGTTGTGTTTGGTTTTGAAGTGATACACAAGAAACATACTTGTGAACGTGGGTGCATTTATACACAGAGGAAAACAACAGCGGGCCGGGACCATGCTGGGGCATGGAGTGGGGCCACCAGCCCTGGGGGCTGCAGCAGAGGGGGCTCTGGCCCTGGCCCCACACTATGGGACAGCAGGGAGTCGGCTGTGTCCCCAGGGACAGCTGGTGCCTTGGCTTTGGAGCAGTATTTCCATCCTCGTTGGTCCTGACCTGCCCCCAGAGGCTGCTAAAAGTGAAGTGAGTGCTGGGGTGTGCGGGTGCTTGGGCCTGCTTCTGTCATGTAGAGCTGTGCCACTGCTCTTACTGTTAAACCTTTTTTTTTTTTTTTTTTTTTTTTTTTTTTAATATTTAAAAAAAGTAAGGTGAGTAAAAGTGTCCTTGGTTTTGCACCTTTCCCAGCAGGTGAAAACAGGAGGGAGGATGACCCAGGTGGGGTTCCTGTGGCAATGCAGCTGCCCAGACAGCGCTGCTCCCTGGGGGGAGCCCAGCTGCTGCTGCCCCCCGTGTGTCCAGGAACCTGCCAGCACCTTGCAAACACAGAGGGGGATGAAATGTTTAAATTATTGCACCAGCTCTGCAAATAAAACCAGAGCTGTGTGAAAGCTGAGGCCTGGCAGCAGCACTTCCTTTCTCGCTTGCCTTCCCTCTGCGCTGCTGAAAATGTATGCAAAGGAATTCCAGTGGGGCCTTCTGGTTTGTGGTTTCACATAAACTCATACTTCAGCCCTAAAGTGTTGTTTCAATAAGAGTAAATTATGGGAACATAAAGACTGTAAGTTTTTAAACTTCTAAATTTGCTGCTTTTGTGCACTGCCACCTCTGTGCTTGGAGTCCCTATCTCTGAAATTGAAGAGAAAAGCTGCAAGATGCAGTCCTGGCAAAAGAGGCGTCCTTCTGGGTATTTGTGTGCCCCACTTGCAAAGTATGCAGCTGCTAAGGAGGAGAGATGCTGACCTGAAGTGCCACAGGAGCAGGAATGGGGCTGCACCATGTTTTCATCAGGGGCTCCCTGGACACCAGGGGTGGCTGCTCTGCAGGGCGAGCACCCAGCAGTGCCCTCAGCAGCGGGACCTCTGCTGCAGGGATGCTTATGCCACGTCTGTCCTCTTTAGTCCCACAAACCCTTCCACGCCTACGAGCAGGCCCGGGATGTGTACGAGTGTTTGCACGATGAAGGCTTGCCTTTGTTCTGAAATGTCAGTCAATAAAAGAATTAGAGAACAGTTAGGAGGAAATGCCTTAATGATTAAAAGCCATTTTTAGCTCATACCTGGGAAACCACAAGCTCGTAGCTTCACACAGACCAGAAGCTGCTTACAAATAATCTTTGCAATCAGTGCCTCTTTTCCTTCACTTGATGCTCATCTCCCGTCAGTGCACGGCCATGGCTGCGGTTGCACTTTGATGTGTTTCAGAAACAGCAGCTCCAAGTTCACAAAGTCAGAAGCCTGCCTTACACCGAGCTGGGAGATTCAATTAAACAAACAAACAAACAACAACAACAAAAACCCACAAGCCCCATCTGCCTGCAGCAGGGCTGGCACACCCCAAAGCCCTGCGCTCCCCGCAGCAGTCCTGGCTCCTATAGTTCAAGCTTGTTGCTGCTGCCAGCCTGGGCTTTGCCTCTCCTAGGGCCTTGCAGCAGGTTCCAGCAGCACGGCGAGCTCCACATCCCCAGGACAGGCTGAATCCAGCGCTTCCTGGCAAGGCAGAAGCTGTCGGAGCTCCAGGTAACTTTTGAGCACCTTCCCTCCCTTCAAACCAGACATCACACCTGGGGCTGGGGTGAGCGGTGCTGCTGCTCAGCCCGTGAGCACGTCGTTTTCTCTGACTCCGCGGCAGGTTGGTGACAGCTGCCTGGTTTCCACCAGCATGGGCTCGCGCAGAAACTACCGCAAGAACTGAAAACAGGGGAAACGGCTGAGGAAGCATTTGGTTTCTAGGAAATACTTCAGAAAGCCCGCTTGACATGAGGTGGTGGTGTTCAGAGCAGCCACTGCCAGGGACTGGGTGTTCTTGAAGCGCTGGCTCGATGCACAGATAGAGGCAACCGCATCTCCCGCCCCATCGGCTGGGCTGGGAGAGCTCAGCACTGCTCAGCACCGGGACCGGGTGCCTGGAGCAGAGCAGGGCTGCGGTTGGGTTGGTGCTGTCATGCTCTGGGGGGGCTGAGCAGCTCTGTCCCCCGCTGGGGGGTCTGGGGCTCAGTCCTGCAAATGCACCCGGGCTTCCTTTGGCAGTGCTGTGTCCTTTCCACCTTTCTCCTACACATTTGCAAGATCAAACTCTTCATGTGTCTTTGAAGAGGAGGTTGCCAAGAAATATCTATCTGCTCAAAATAAGGATTTTTAAACCCATGCTGGTGTCATAAGAAAAACGCCCTGGGCTGCTAATCCGTAGGTAGTGTTGCCTCTTAGTCGAACACTTGACCCATCTATTTTCTGAATGCAAAGTCACACCAGTCTGCAATTTGGGTTTAATTTTTCTCACATCATTATTCACTGATCACTTCCTTTGAAGTTGGTTCTTTGCAGGTTATTTCCAGTGTGACACTTTTCCATCTCTACCACACCAGGCTTAAATTTGAAGACAGACACGTGAGTAAGTCCTGGGCACGGGGACAGCCTCTGTAAACAAAACGACACAAACGTGTTCTGGTGCCAAAAAGAAACAGAACAGAGAGGCTACACCCACAACAGCCAGAAAGGACACAAACCCATTTTTTCCTGCTGCCTCAACCACCTCAGCTCACCAGGGTTCCCAGCAGCGAGCATCCCCTGCAAGCAGCGGTGCCATGGGCAGGTGCTGCAGAGGAACCCAGGTCTGATGGCACCCAGCTGGGTGAGCTGGGCATCAGCTGCAGCCTGTGACTCAAGCAGGCTGAGAGAGAGCATTGAGTGCTTGGCAGGGAGGGGTTGTTTCCTCGAAAACAGGTTGCCCTTATTTAAAACACTTTTATTAAAAAAAGTAGATGTTAAAATACCCAGAGTGACATTGAAAAGTCCTTGTTTTCACTGCTGTACAGCAAGCTGAGGGGGTATTCTTGTGAAGGGAGCAGGAAAATAGAAGTGCCCTCATCTCCTTGGCTTGTTACTCGTGGTAAGTACAAGGTATTTCAGCCACTTTTATAACCGGGGACAGAGGGACCCCGTGGCTCCCCATCCAGACATCACAGCCCCTGCCGCATCCCAGCCCCAGGACAAGCGATGCACGTGGAGGCACTGGGCTGAGGAGGGCCCCAGATGCCCAGAGCTTGAGGGATGTTGGAACAACTGCCCCCAAAGTGTGAGAGAGGAAAACCTGTGGATGTTCTACATGCAAAGGGAAGTCACAGAGCTCCTCTCTGAGCTGGCAGAAGACCAGCATCTGAAGGGCAAGGAGACCTTTGCAAATGAAAGTTCACAGAGGACAGGAAAAAGAGAGAGAGAGAGAGATTCTTGCTGCTGCTGTTGTTCGCACGGCAGCTCTGGGAGCAGCGAGCAGTGAGCACCCAGCAGCTGGAGCCTTCCTGAGAGTGACCGAGCAGCAGCGAGAGCAACTCTGGGGGAAAGGGACAGCACGGGGCAAGACTGGTGCACCTCAAGCCCCGGGTGATTCAGTGTGTTTGGGAACAAGGTCTGTACACACCCTTATTTTAACCAAAAGATACTTTGCGGGGAGCCTGTGCCCTGGGGCTGAGCTGAGTCACCCTGCAGTGCCCGCACACCTGAAACCTGGGGTGTGCAGCACATCGAAGCAAGTCATTGCTGACTTCTATTCTCAGCAACATTTTCCCCTGGAAGCCACCAGCATCACTCACCTGTGTCCCTGCATTCCCAGAATACACGGACAGCGAGGACCTGGGGGTCTGGCTGGGGGCTTCCCGTGGAGGCAGCGGGCAAACCCTGCTCGTTCCCAAGGAATTTACCCCATTCTTTTCCAGCTGCTTGTTGCAGGCCTGCAGCTCAATGTCTGAGTCTGGCTGGGATTTGCGTGTAGAAGCCAGTATCAAAATTATATTAAAATGAGGTGGCAACGAAGGTAGAATTTTACTGTCAAGAGCTTTTTGTCATAAAAGAGACCTACCCTGGCAGCAAAGCAGTGCTTGTAGAAACCATTTGGAGCTGGCAATGATGCTTTATTAAATCGATCAAGTATAACTTGAACAGCATTGCTTACAAGTAATGGTCATGGTGCAAATAGTTAATACCTAACTTTGCATTTTTATGTGTTTTAATTCAAATAGGGAAACGCCATCATTACTGGGGAGCTGCAGAAGCAGAAGGGCGGCTGCGTAAGGACGTGCTCTGCAGAAACGAGAGGTTCGGCTGAGTAACAGTAGGATGAAGGACGTTTCTGATGAGTGATCTGAGTCCTGGCTAGATCACAGAACAAAGAAGTCGCTTGAACTTCTGGAAATTGCACTCTGCTGGATTTCCAGCCCGCAGAGCAGAGCTGGCAGCACGGGACAGCCCTGCGGGGATGGGGAGCAGGCGCCGCACCGAGACCCTCCGACCATGGCATGGTGTGGGGATGCTGCACGGCCACATCCTGCTGCTGGTCCCTGCTGCAGCATGGCATTCAGCTGGGAAACTGCGGTAAGTTCATCCTCGTTGCATTTTATGACCCTTTTCTGGGAGTGAAGACTGGACTGCACAGGAAGCTGAGGCAAGGCAATGACCACTGCGTGCGCTCTCAGCTCCTGCTGCTCTGCAACCACAGCCTCACCGCAGGCTTGTTATCAGAGGGAGGTCTCTCTCGCTACATCACACCTCTCTCTTTTCTATTTTCAAGCTAATAAGCCTTCCTTTATACCATCTCAAATGCTAAAATACTTTGTAAACTCCTCTCACTATAGACTGGTGTAAGTGACTGCTGCATGCAGCACCTTGTCACCAAGGCGAAGCCAAAAGGTAAGTGTATTTCCATTACACCACTTGGAGATTGCCAGGGGCATTGAGGCGGCCTCCCTTCTGGCTGGTGGGAATGTGATTGGCACCAACCATGAGGTTTTTTCACCATTCAGTTGAAATATGCAGTTTTTGGAAGGCAGTATTTAAGCTGAGGAAGAACCACTAGTTTTATACTTTAAAATTGCAATTGGGTTTGGGGGTAGGACGGTGGCTTTCCAAGAGCACGGTGCCTGGATTTGCAGAGGGGATGCAGGTGTCAGGCACCCACAGGCGTGGGCTGGAGCCGAGTACCAGAAATCTTCTGGGACACCCCAGGAGAGCGTCCAGGCGGTGACACGGGTGGCGTTTTGACAGAGAGCTGAGGGGGAGGGAGGCAGGGGCAGGATGCTCCCACCCCTCTGCTCTGTCTGCGGGTGCTCAGCCAGGCCCTGTAGGCAGGGAGGCCCCGCTGGGTGCTGTCCTGCACGGAGCATTCAGGCCCTGTCGTGAGGGTGGGGAAAAAACATTCATAACAAGCCATAAAACTTTAAAAACCTCGCATGTGAAGTGTATCACAGATCAAATATGCTTTAGGACACGCGAGCCCAACACTTATGGAAGTTGTTAGAATTAAGATTGTGCTGCTGCCAAGAACATGAGATCCAGATTTCTTTTCCTTTTTTTTTTTCTTTTTTTTTTTCTTTTTTTTTCCATCGCCTTTGAGAATGCTCAGAGCGTTGTGCTTGAAAAGCCTCAAATTCTGGATGAAGACTCAAATAACTTAGGAAACTGGATATAGAGGAATGGGGTGATTTCAGGATTGTTTCTGAGCAGAATTAGGCTGGGGTTCTGCAGACCTCAAGTCTTTTCGAATTGCATTTTTCAAATGAATTCTTTTATACCTGTCACACGTGGTTCCTGGCGATGGCAGCCATGGTTCTAGTCTGTGGATTACTGATGGAGCGTTAACGCAAACAAATGATTTAATGCTTGACATTTCTCCCCTTCACTTCTTTTTTAGCAAGGTATTTTTTAATGATTTTTCCATTCTGTATGGTGGTTACTAGTGCTATTGTTAGAGAAACGTATGGCACCTTTTAATAAGAACGATGCTCTTTGCCCACTACAGCTCTCTGCATTCATGACTCAAGGATGTGGCTAACAGCTCTATCTTTAAAGAGGAAAAAAAAAAGCTAGAAATATTTCAGCTGTGATAAATAGGTACTGTAACCTCAGTGTCTGTCCTGTTTCCTCACTCTTTGATAAAGTTATGGGAAGAAAGAAATAATTTCAGTGCTGAAGGTGTGTCTGGCTGTGTCTTTGGGTAAAATCCCGTGGGCTAGGTGTGTGCAAGTCTTCTCCCTAACATCACTGCAGCAGGGACTTTCAGATTGCCATGGTGGTAGATGACTTTGGTGATCATTCTAAAAGAGACCTCTTCATTTTTCCATAGAACCATTGACATTAAGAGCAACCTGCATCAGAGTCTTTGTTTTTAACGTTTCTGCCCAGCTGTGGTTGTTTTATTATGGGATACGTACTCTGATTAAGATGTTAAGATCCAGATGTGGGGCGGTGGGGTAGAATTAATTTTTTGCTTGGTTAAATGCTTGGTTCTTTTACCCTGTAGAAGCGTGTGGGATGCCAGGCATGGCCCTGACCTTGAGGGTTTGTGGCTTGCCAGGGGCTGGGGCCATCTCTGTCCCCAGGGACCTTTCCCTCACCCCAAGTGTGAGGCCAGCCCTGTTCAGTGGGTGCAAACCACAGGCAGCCTCAGTGAAAGTCCTCCTTGGTTATAATTGTATCTAATGGGTTTTAGATGACATGAAAAAGTAAAGGAAGGCCACTTTTCCTGCTAAATCCCACCGTTTGTGTGTCCATGCAAGTGCTGGGTCCGATTCCCTTCCATTTTACTGTTCGCCCCGCTCTCGGCCGACCACTGCGAGACGGTGACGTGGGGTGCCCAGTGTAGGGACAGCAGGAAGGGAGGGCTGGGCTGCTCGTATAATTTGCACCAGAAGTCTGATTCATCTGCTGGAACAGAAACTTGCAGTATTACTTGTTTCCACTTAAAGCTCCTGGTCGGGATGTGAGAGCTCTCTGCAGTGCTTTATGAATGTTACGTGCTTCAGCTGCTGTTGCGCGCTGCTTGGAGGGGTTGATAACGCCAGGCAGGAGCTGGGGTAGGACAGGAACTATTGGGATAAAAGTGCTGAACAGGGATAAAAAGCACACAGGCTGCCCAGAAAGGTGGTGGAGCCTCCATCCTGGGGGATCTCCCAAACCTGTGTGCCCCAACACCTGCCACAGGAGGGGTGAGAGGGGAGAGCAGCCCGGCCTTTGCACTTGCCCTTGTTGAACTTCACGAGGTCCCTCTCGGCCAAACCTTCCAGCCTCTGCAGGTCCCTCTGAACAGCAGCACGGTCCCCTTGGGGTGTCAGCCACTCTGTGCCATCATCCTGGTGACCGATGAATAAGATGAACGGGACAGTTGGGATGACACACACTTCCCACGTGTGATCTGGAAATCACACAGAGAATTTCTCTGGAAATAAGGTGGTGCTGAAACAGAATGTGAAACTACTGCAAGTTACTGGGTAGATCACCTTCAATTTCTCATCTGCAATTCTGAATGAAATTTTATTAGTTTGCAAGTTGAGGTTAAGTCCCTGAGCGTTGTCCTTGTGTAATGAGCTGGGATTTTACTGCTTTCCCTACCCGGAGTTGTGGAGCTTTTCTGTGCTTTGCGGCTTGGATGGTTTCCGAGCAAAAGCAAGGCCCAGTTTTCACAAAGTAGTCATTTTTGTTATACAAATCGCTCTTGTTCATGGGGGAAGAAGTCAAACACTGACTGTCATGATCTGGAGCTAACCTAGGCAGAACTAATGCATCCATAAAGAAGGAACTGCTGCTATGTACCCGATATAAATGGTTAAGGTTTAATTCTAACTTGGTTTCCTTTTCTTGGTGCAGGGGCTGCAGGTGTATGTGTTGAGAAGTAAATATCTGTACAGAGATAATAAGCTCGAGCTATGAGTGGGCAGTGGGTGGCTGTGGTTTTACCTCTTTGCGAACTTAAAACAAGAATGAATCATGCTGGGGATGCTATGGGACTTTCTGACAAGGTCAATGGCATATCATAACACCATCGTTTCAGAGGTAAGCCCAAGCATCATGTCCAGAATTTTAAAAATCAAATTTAATTAAGTTAAAACTAATGTCTTGGAGAGCTGCGGGGGCAGGCTGGGTGCTCTGAGGAAAAACCCAGACCTAGCTCAACAAACCTGACCGTAGGAGGTAATAGATTGATAGTCTCCACTATGAACTCCTTAAAACCATGGACTCCTCCAGAATAAATGTCTTTCTGATAAAAACAAGTTTCTTCTGTCATCCCTGGTTCATACATTGACTGGTGCATACTTTCTGTGTTTCTGTCACGTTTGTGATTCTTAGAAAAGGACCCAGAAATGAATGCCAACAGATTCTGCTAATATGGATCAGTGAATGTGAAATGGGTATGAATCAGTGAAATGTGTATTCGAACAGACTGGCTCCAGGCGCTTCTGAGGATTCATTCTGTTTTTTCCCATAGTGTTGGACAGGAGTATTTATTTCATCTCTAGGGTTTGTGAAGCTAAACTAAGTGCTCTTTGATTGCTTTCTGTTTTGTTTTTTTGTTGTTGTTGTTGTTGTTTTTTGTTGTTTTTTGTTTGTTTGTTTTTTCTTTGTTTTTTGAACAGTTATTGTCAGTGTACGGTTTAATTTCAGCTTCCAAACATCACCAGTGGTGTGGGTGTTTCCAAAATGCTCATCTTGCATTGGATGCAGAAGGATGCAGACAGCTAAACAGGCCCGCCAATCCCATCCCAAATGGTTTAACCCGGAGATGCCTGATGGTTTGAGGTCTTACTTACGTTTGGACTGTAGCATGGCAATTCAGCAGGTTTTCTGTCTGTGTACCATACATACCGTGTCTCTCCCTCTCACCATCACTCAGTAAGCTACAAAAATCAGTTCTGACATCCCACTCTAGATACTGGTTAGTGATTAAGGCTTTATGGGAAATGGTGTGAACCTTCTGGTTTGTGTCTGCATATGAATTTTCTATATTTTTACATGTGATAAATCCTACTTTCATTATGAGTCATTTCCATTATTGTTAGTGACTTGAACACATATCCTTGTCCAAAACTCATAGAAGCTGGGTAGGCCATGAGTGCCAGAGGGGAGAAGCACGTTCGATGGCAGCAAACGTCTAAGCACCAAGATAAGCTTTACCTAGCAACAGTTATTTGCAATGATTCTGGGTTAGAAGACCATTCAGTGACTCGGTCACATTTTGTCACAGTAATTTCGAATCCTATCTCAGCCTTTTGTTAGAAGAACATCGGGTTATGAACTGATGCCAGCTAGTTCCTCTACGGTATGTGCCAGTTGTCTTTTGGCTCGTTGTCATGGCAAACTGCGTTTCTACCCAGATTTAGAGATGTCAGCAGTCTGGGTTCCCTGTGTTCCTCAAGTCTTGAGGACAGGGCTGTGCTGGGTCCCATCAATTCCCGCTGGGCACCACAGACCTGAACTGCCCCCCCCCACTGTGGGATCACTTCCCAGCCCCAGCTAAAGCGAGTGAACACTTCTTCTCTCCCTACGTGCCAAAACCCACGAGCCTCATGCCTTTCTCTGCATCCCTGGTGAGCTCAATTTCATGTTTGGTAACTGAGTGATACAAATGACGACACTTGGCTGAGCTTGGCATGAAAGGTTTTTATTGCTGTGTACAATTTACAATCACCCACTTGCATTAACACTTAGCACGGATTCTGGTTTGTAAGAGGCATCTCTTGTTTCCCCATCCCCAGCCGGCCCCAGTGCTGCCCATGGGACCTCTCCTAGAGCCACCTCTTGTGGTACCTCTGCCAGCAATTGAGGGAGCAGTTGTAGACGTCCAGATCCACCTCGTTTCTCACAGTGCTGTTGCACGTGAGCTTCTCGTTGATCCATTCCAAGAATCTTTCCATTTTTTTTTTAAATTCTGGGAACTCTACATCCTCAGTTTCACAGTTATTTTCATGGGTTGTTTTTTTCTAAGGAAAAAGAGTAGATGCTGGTTGATACAAGAGTCACGGAACAATTCCACCCAAATGCTGCATGTTCTCCAGGACCTCCCCAACTCACTGGTACAGAGCTAGAAGCAGGCCAGCTGTCCTTCACTGGTCTCAGATAATTTCACCTTGCAGATTTAAGACAGGTCAGAGCATTTCACTTGTAATATCCAATTTCCCTTATAATACCCAAATTCTGGAGACACAAAGGGAGCCCAGGATGCGCTGTGTGGTCCCAGCAGCATCCCAGCCTGCTTGTTCTTAACCCTGGGGTTTCAGCTGCAGCAGTGTGGAGCTCAGCATCTGGGTATCGGTTTCGTCTGCAACTTGCAGGCATTAAGCAAACTGATGCATATCTGTTTTTCTTCCAAAAAGAAGCCTGTTTCAGGTCAGCAAGTATAGCCACTTTGAGAATATATGCGAAATCTCTTTTCCGTCACCTTATTTTCTCTGTCTTTCTCTCTTTTTGCACCTAGTAAATCATCATAATTACTGCAGGTCTAAATATTAATATCATCTGTGTAAAAATGAGTTTGTGCATTATAGACAAACCTTGATATCCTTCCATGGAGCTACAGCTGGTCCAAAATTAAAAAGGAAGAACAATTTCTTGGCTACCAGATCTCAAAACATTGACTTCGAGTTTACCAAAAAGTGAGTAAGAAATCGTGTGACAGGTGACACTTTACTGAACAACTTCCACTAACGCTCTCTAATTCCTTCAGGGAAAGTAACTTTTGGGGAACCTTGGTGGCGATGTCTTCTCAGCATATCCATAGACTTAACTAAAGGCTCATGCCTTATCCACCATCATACGTGAAAACTGGTGCAATCCAAGGGCTGCAGCAGCCTTGCCTGGCTGGGAAAGATCCACTGTTTGCAGTGTCTGGGATTGCTTTGCGTGTGTCCAAGAGAACTAATGAGACATCGAAAACAATCCCCAAGATGGATAAATCCCCAACCTGGATAAACTGATAACTGCAGGAAAATGTTTGAAACTAAAATTAAATCAATAGTGAAAGCTTACCTTCAGAACTGAACACATGTCTTCTAGCTTTTCCATTTGTTTTGAAACTACACTCATACATTTAGATGATTGGTTCAGTTTATTTAGCTCTTCAATAAACTTGTTGGTGTTATTGTGTGCACAGTCTGTGATCTAGGAGAAAAAGGGAGAGCAAATGGTGTTCTACTTTACAGAAAGAAGAACAAAGGAACTGGTAATAAACCATGTTTAATAAATCAACTATAATTTTCTCTGGAAATCTGAACTTCTTTTATCTGAAGTCTTTTTCATACCTTTTTAAGAAGTCATATTGTAAGTGCAGTATTCGAAACTATTACAACCACAAACTTTGCAATAAAAGTGCTCCAGTTTCTGCTAGTGGTGAATTTGACAACATTTCAAATTTGATCCAATTCTATTGAAATCAGAGAGAGTTTTTTGTTTGTTTCTTTGTTTTCCTTAGATATAGGACGTTTACTGATAGCTGCTTTGAGCATTTTCCTTTATATTGCATCAGTTAGTGAACAGATCTTACAAACATCAACAGAACTTTCTCCTGAAAAGTATTACAGAGAACTTAGAAAACTGAAGAAAGGCATGCCATTTGTAACTGAGAGCAGTTAGGACTAGCCACAGTCAAGCAATCTTTTAAAAATTGGGCGTGATGTGTTCAGAAAGCAAGAGGAGCGCTGCTGACTTGTAGAGGAAAGGCTGTCCCCTGAGCCAGCCGATGCTCTTCCCATCAGCGGTGGCTCTGTGCCCCTCTTAGAACAGATTTTTGGGTTCAGAGCCCTCTTCCCATTCCCTCACGGCTCCCAGAACCACGGCTCTTTGCCAGCCCAGCATCCCTCTCTTAGCTGCTGTTCTATATGTTGCCTTTAAATGTCTTCAGACCTCTCCTCTCAGAGGTTATACTTTAAGCTTATAATCCATGAGTCTCCTTGGAGAATAGAATAAGAAATAGCAGCTCCTTACCGTTAGGTTGACCGGTGTGTGGAAATATCCCTGAAAAAGACAGAAATCAGCGTGTTACAAATTTTAAATCATCTCAAAAATCAAGCCTGAGGTGGGGGAAGCGGAAAATTATTTACATTAGAAGATGTATTTGTAGAGTTCAGTAAGCAAATTATTTCCTTAATTAATGTAGTTTTATCAATCTTCTGCAGAAATGGCGTTTCTTTCAGAGGAATAAAGTAACTGGATGCCCTACAGCTGAGCAGTAACAAGAACATATAAAGATACATTTTAATGGTGTTGTATCTGGGAGCTCAAGTTTGGTCTGAAATCTGCCTTGAGTTCAAGCTCCTCTCCCTTGGCAGATGCTAAGCTCACTTATATAGAGAAGCTTAGTAAGGGCAGGATGTGATTACTATCTTATCTCAGTTATGAATCAATAAAATAGGAAATAGACAACAACTTGAGCTGTCGAATTAGCAACATATCTCATTTGAGAAGCATTTGTGATTAGTGTTCCAGCAAACTTCCTAAAGACGCTAACTCCAGGGCAATGCTTCCATGCAAGGAAGAGCGATGTACAAGGGCACTAACGATGTGCAAGTTATTGTAAAACTTACTAACATCTAAGGAAGTTGGAGTAACACAGCCATGAAGATCATCATTTCTTGTCACAGGATCTCTGCATCTCTCAGCATGACCTTGTGGGAGTGTGGGAGCAGGGGTGCACACCGATGCATAGCGCTGCCTTGCAAAACATTTTCTGGGGGAAATGCTTTTTCTCTGACCTGACAATAAAGCAGAAGGTGGTTTGTTCATCGTAATTGCTTAGAGTGATGACTGGACCTTATCCTGACATCGCTAATTTTTCTGACAGTGCTGCATAAATCTTCATTCTCAGCTGCCAACTGCAGCTTATCATTCTGGGGGAAACCTTCACCGCTTCTCTCATCGCACTTGGGCCCTTGTGCGGCACTTTGCAGGAGCAGTGAGGTCCTTGCTTTTATGGGAATATGTGAGCAAGGGGGAAAAGGGGCCGAAACCCGAGCGGAACACCACAGGCACCCACCCAGTGGTGCTCGGGGTGGGATGCAGCAGGAGGTGGCCGAGCTCTCCCCACTCCCCTGCGGGCTGCTGGCTCCTCGGCTCAGTCAGCTAAGGGTGGGGTAACCACATGAGAGAGGGCACTTCCAGATAACTTGGTGTTTGAGGAGCAATATCATGAGAGCAATTGCAGAAGCAGGGCTTAGATAACTCTGAGATAATGCGACTCTAAAGTAAAAAAAAATAAAAAAATACATAAATCTAGTTGTTCCATAATGGGTTGCAACGAATATGGTTCATACAAGAAGTATCCCCCGAGGGAGGGCTCGGTGAGGAATCACTTCTGGCCGTCAAGAAGCAGTGTGAAAAGTGAAATTATTAACAACCAGCTTCAGGGCCAAGCGTACCTGATGGTCTGGTAGTCAGCGTCTGCCTGGGGACGCTGCATGGCTCGTGCTGCCTCACCTTCTTGTTTGCTCAACAGCAGCTCTGACTTCAGCAGAAAGCTGTAAGGGAGGCATTTGGCAATGCCAGAAAAAAATATGCTTGGCAAGTGCTGCTTGGATGGGGTTAGCAAGGAGCCAGGCTCTCAGCTGCAGCACATCAGCCCAGAGCTTTGCAAATATCCGTATCGGCCTGTGCCAGCTGAAGGTCTGGCCCAAATATTTCCCACATGTTCTAGTTTCTTCTCTAAATCTGTTTGTTTTTTAGAGGTGGTATTTCATGTAAAGCGTCTGATGAGGTGCAGAAGTGGCAGATTGTTTTTTTTCTGGATTTCATAAGGCAAAACTTTACTGTTGGGTCAGGCACACGTTTCACTTTGCAGTCCTATAAATGCAATACGAAAGTTTGGGACAGGGTGGTGTTTTGAGCCCTTTGTCGGGGCGTTTTGCAGTGCCCCTGCTATAAACACCCATCTGCATGTTCCCTTTGTTCCCATTGCTTTGCTGCTCATTTAAGGTGCCTGGTTTGCAGAGCAGGCTGTTCCCCTCTTCCAGCACTGCGGGAAAGGTTCTTGTACAGCTGCACTGCCCAGTCCTGCTTGGGTTCCCCTCTCTATCAAAGACCCCGATTCACTCTCTTAAAATGTAAAATTTTAGCATCAATCTGCTCGTGGAAAGGCTCCCTGGTGCCCAGGCCCCTTGCTTCCCAGTACTGCTGATGGGACACCAAGGAGCCTTTGGGACCTGCAGGCTCCTGTCCAACAGCATGCAGAGGTGATTAAAAAGGGGCATTGAAAGCAATGTTTAAACGTGCAAAACTGGCATGTAAAACCAATGAAATGATCTCCCTTTCTCTGATGTGAGGCTCAGCATCTCCCGCTGACAGCGCGGAGCCGCCGGGACGGGGCTGCCCCCTAGGGGCTGCCGGGGGCAAAAGGAGCCGCTCAGGGGAGGGGGGGTCCCGGGCTCGGCACGGCCCCGGGGGGGCCCCTGCAAGCCCCAGCCCCTCCCGGAGCCCCCCAACCCGCTGCTTTACCGCAGGTGCTTGCAAAGCCGTGCAAAGGCTGGGGAGCGAGCTGCGCTCTCGGCGCGTTCCCCCCGCGCATCCCGCAGGGTGCTGGTCCCTCTCGGGGCAGCCTCTCCCTCCCTGGAAGGCTGGAATTTTTTTATTATTTTTTTTTTTGCAATTGTAAAAATCATCTTTTTGCAACCATGGCTCTTTGCACGCGGTTGTAAAAGTCAGATCACCTTTTTGCAACCGTGGCTCTTCGCTAATGCTTATTTAGTCGGTGCTCCCCCCACAGCCTTCCCCAAGGTGCCGCTGCTCAGATTTATTCCTCATTTAGCCCCGGTGCTTTTGGCTGCTCCCTGAGGACAGCACCCCAGCAAACAGCGAGGTGCTGGGCTGTGAGCCACCCACACAGAGCGTGCAGCCTGATCGGCTCCTCAGCCTAAATTGGGGCTGGGGGACCAGTCCCCCCAGGGCTGCTCTTGGGCACCACCCCATACACCCATACACCCCCTGCCTGATTCCCCCTCACGGGATGTGAAGCCATTGACATCTTGAGCCTCTTTTTCTAAGCACACAGTATTTTTTGTGGGTATTCATTAATTGATTTATTCTCAACTATTCAGGGGAGGGAGGGTGATGATGACTGAACCTACTGTTTTTTCCCCTGTTGATACAATGACTACCGTGTCTGCCCTTCCCCAGCCCCGAAGGAATTTCTCTCCAGGTGTTATTGAAAATACCAGCTAATTCCTCAAACATGTCAGCTCCCTTAAGTAACTGCTGCAGGTTCTGCCCCTCCAACTTGCCTTTTGCTGAGGGCTGCGTGGGGATCGGGGATTCCACAGGCGCAGCACGGCTCCTACAATCACTGCCGTGGGCTAAATCCTCTGTGAATCAGGGCTCTTGGGGGAACTTTTTCCAGGTGCGTGGCGAAACCTGCAGAAGCAGGTGATGGTGATGGGCCAGGATGGTGAAATTCCAGCCGGAGAATCCCCCTGGAGGGGAAGGCACAGGCGCGGTGCTGCGGGCACAGCCGTGGGCTGGTGCTGTGCCTCCCTTTCCATCCTGCCCCAAACGAGGTCTGCGCTGCCCCTTCGCTTCCTTCTGCGTGGGTGAAGCTCCCTGCCATCGGAATATCCACCGGGGGGGGGGAAAGGAGAGCTGCTGCAGCGAGCTGTCTGCCACGAAGTGAGAGCAAAGGAAGGAAGAACCAAAACCACGACCCACTATTTAGGCCCTACGTCTACCCTGATTTGAAAACAAAAGTGGTGTTACGCGGTGTCTGGACGTCCTGGTAAGCTGCTACACAGAGGAATTAATCATCTCTACAGTTTCTGTGTGTTTCTGGGTACGATACCCACCCTGAAACTGCCAGAACTTCACCATGAGAAGACCCCGATTGGACCCGTCAAACATTTTTAGATTGAATCTTCCTTAAATCACCATAAAACAAAGAAAATGATAGTTACACATTTGTGCAAGAGTTTTATTTTGCATAGATTCTCTTAGAGTTCGGTTACATTCATAGAGTTCTGCATAAAAGTTTCCTGGTTATTTACCTGTGTGG